TGTGAAAAGGCATAAATTCCCTTCTTGCATATTTTTTTTTTGGCTTTCAAAGCTTTGTTTCATTTGCGTTCTATTTATCTTCTTCGATAAATCCTTTCAAGTTTAAAAGAATTAATTTGGAAATACTATTTTATTTTATTTTATTTTGGAGGAAGGGAAATTCAAACTTGCTTCAGAAAATATATACATCCACCATTGCATCAAATGCATGCTCAAGTGCTAAAAATTAATAACATTAAAACTAAACCAAAGGTTTACTTTCATAATTAAGCTAGGGAGAAAAGGTTTACTTCATGTTAACATAAGAAATTCGGAGTGATTCCTTTGGATCAACGCAACCGAAAAAATATTGAAAGCTCTACAAATTATCATGCAAGAAAAATTTTTTATTAATCACAATCACACAATTTTGTTTTATTTACCTCAACAAGGTTTCAGAAGCATTCTTGAGCCACACTTGAAGCTTTACATAAAGCCACACTGAGTTTTTTTGAGCTTCCCGGCCTCTTAAACTCTTACAAATTCTAAATAAAATAACTATAAATAAGATATTAATGATAGTAAATAAGGTAAATAATAATAGAAAAAATATAAAGTTTATTTTAATTCCAATGTTGCCTCGCTTAAACCAAGCTCTTAAAAAACCACAAACGAATGCCATCAATAGCAAGAATGTTCAAAGCAATTGTTGCTGCTGTAACTGAGTCATGCAAGATCTTCTTCATGCGCTTTGTGCGTTCAGAGAATTGATACATATTTATTCATTCACTAAAGAACTCAAACCCAACAAATTAATCCATCATTATATTTTGACAAGAATTTCTCGAAACCCAAAAAATCATGAATTTCATATTCCGACTTACCTAAACTTTTGATCTGCAACAAGAGAATCACCAATCAAAAATTTTCTAAACCAACTTCCCTAATAACACCACTGTCATGGTGTTCAAAAACAGATTTTGAAACAATTAACCAACGTCAAATTTTGGCAATCTTGATATATTTTTTTTTTCACAAAATTCGGCATCCAAATTAAAAGATGCTAAATCCAATTTTTCAACCTTAATTGTAGAAAGAAAAAAAATTCATTAGGAAATATAGATTTCAAACTAAAATTCAGTGAACCCATTTCTTCAATCTTAATTTTTTTAACAAATAACAATTGAGAAACTTCCTCACTAAAAGTAATTTCTTTCTCATCAACAAATTTTTCATCATGCAATTGATAGTCCTAATATTCAACAGGATGAGGATGCAATAAAACATAATTTTGGGGTATTCTTTTATAATACCCCAACCCAAATGATAATTGGATTAGAGTATTACCAAAACCCATTAATTTGTTTAAGAGAATACATATTAAAAGAAAAAGAGGCTGAGCTAATTTGTTAGGAAAATCTAACAGTCTTTGTTTAGAGTGAAAAAAAATAAAGAAAACAGGCTGTTTTTTCTTTTTTGATGAGGGTTATTTTTCTTTCTCTTCTTTCTCAAAGCTTGGGGGCTGGAAGATCAAAGTTGATTAAAAATTAAAATCTACCTCCATATTAGTCTTTTAAAGGTGAGTAAAAATCCTCTTTAATTTGAAGAAGAAGCTTGTTAACTGTTGAAATTTTGGGGTTAAAGTTCATTAGAGAAATTTAGAAATTTCTTATAATCGTATATGATAGGATTAAGATTATTAGATCTTGTTTAATTCATTTAATTATGAGTTAAGATTGATTATTGGATTAACATTAGGGCTTATAATGGAAGAACTCATATTATTGTGGATTAAAGGGAGAAATGTGCTTTGTAAGAACAAGTTTTCTATGACAGTGGATTTTTATTAATATTTTGTATTAATCTACATATTTTTTCTATGAATATCATATATTTATGAAAAGTTTATTGAGTTTATTTTCTAACAAAACAAATGAAAGTGAATTCTAAGCCTCATGTTGTCTGACAATAGCATGAGATATGAATTGAAACAATTATTGTAATTAAGTTACAAGAAATTAAAGGGTTAGCCATATATTGTTAGGAATCTTATTGAGTTTATTTTCTAACGCACTAAAAGGATCTTAAATTCAAATTTCATATCTTGAGATATAATTATTTTAGTGAAAATAGTGCATGCAATCAACATTAATTAGTTGAGTTAGCTTTTATAAAATTTAATTGATTTAGTATATATAGCTTCTAAAAAGGTTGATCGATTTCTAATACATCGAAATAGTTTTGAATAAGTTGTTAATTATTTTTAGAGAAAAACTAAGTGATAAAATTAAAACGAGATAAGCTAAATCTCATACACTTTGTTTTAAACCTTTGTATGCTTGTAAGTTTCTCAGAATGATGAATGCACATCTTATTGTTTTTCGTATATAAAAACATGATCTAGCATATGATTATCTTATATTTTGATATATAAATGATGAATTATGAGCTCATGAATGAAAGATAGAAAGAAACAATATTTTCGCAGCTATGATTTCAATAAATGATTACTGTGAAATGTGAGCTTATATGAATGAAATACTAAATGGTTGTTAAGATTTTAAAGATTGATTTATAAAAGCTATGAATTTACATATTTAGGTAGTGAAATCATCGATACTAAAATCAGTTTTACAACTCTGTTAATGGATAATAATAGTTAGCACACAACCCTGCTAACGAATTATAATAGTTACTATAATTATACGGCTTTGCTAGTGAGTTATAATAATTAGCATAAGACTTTGTTAATGGATTATAATAGTTAGTAATGATCATGAAATAATATTTTGATACAGCTATTATCATATGTTATAATAATGATCGTAACTACTGATGGACAATGAAAAATATAATGAAAATAATTATGATGATTTCTAAAAATTAATTAAAAACTTGGTTTGATTACAACATTTGAATGATGGCATTTGATTGCCAATTATTTAAGAAATGACATATTCGATATTAATTTATCAATTTACAAAATGCTCTATTTGACATAAGGATGATTTTTAAATTGTTTTAGTATTATGATTTGACAAATATTTTTGAATGTTCTATGCAGTATGAATAAAAATAATACCTAATCCGATAAAGTGTGTATGCTATACTTGTTAACTTATGATTTGCTCATAATCTTTTATCTCTCTCTATGAATATTAACTAATAAATTTGTTTTAGACTTATGAAAAACTAGAAAATCAAATAAGAAGATTACTATAATATTAGAGATATTGTTCGTCGATGAGGTTTTATGAGGTGTATATTGATATTTGAGTATTTTATTGGTTCTAGGATAATTTTTTTATTATTGTATTGAATTATAAATATAAATTTTACTTAAAAAAGAGAATTTGAAATGACAATATATGTTTCAAGATTGTTATTAGAAAGCAAGTTTTGTATTATTTTTAAATTTTACTTCAAAATAATATAATTATTTATATATTAATTTTGGGGCGTGATATTATTTTATAACAAAAAATTAATCAAACTCTTTGCCAAAATCATAGGGAGTAATTACTAAATCATCATAATTAAAAAAACACCAATGCAAAATGAAGATATTTAAAAATAATACATAACGATTTTTTCTCGATATCCCAAATCTCTTTTGACAGAGCTTTTTTCAGCATCTTTTTCAAGGGCATCAAGCGGGTTCTTCAAAATACTTTTTAAATTCAGTACTGTATCTCATAATTATCAAAAGCTATTTTTTTTTAAAGTCTTTTATTTTCTTGAAACGTGATATGAAATTAACTGAGCATAACTAATCTTCGATATTCTCTTTTTGTCTCAACCTCCACTACAGGATCAATATCCGGGTCTGATTAGGGTTGGTAAGCCCAATTTATCTTTGATAGATTTTAATATGATATGATCTTATAAAATTAATTTTTTTTTTAAATCGAGTTTCGAATTAAGTTGAGTTGGATCAAGTAATATTAAAAAAAAATTGAGGTCGAGTTGAGTTTGAATTTTAAATAAATTTGACTTGACCTGATTTAATATTGTATAAATTTTTTTATTTTTTTAATTATTTACTTATATATAATTATATTTTAAAAAATAATATTTATATTTATAAAATAATATTTTATTAATTATAAGTCGAGTCAGATATAGCTTATACAATATTAAGTCGGGTCAGGTTTGGATATGAAAAAAATAAAAAAAATTTCAAGTCGAATCAAATTTAGATTTTATGAATATAAAATCGGATTAAATTTGGAGCGAGAAAAAACTCACTTCGACTTATTTCATTGTCATTTTTGAGTCTGATACAAACTATTGCATTTTACATTCGTAGTCAAATTGGATCTAGCTCTTCTACTAAATTTTGGAATCGAAAAATTCAGAATGATTCCTTCTAATCACTCCTTGGAAGTAAAATACTGAACACTCTAAAAAAATCAAATAAGAAATAATTTTATTGGCAATCTGTCCAATCATAAAATCAAATAATTTTGGATTAATATCATTATAGACTCTTAAATTATAGTAAATGTTTAATATGACATTTAAATTTTAAAAACTTCTAATGTGATACATAAATAATGAATCTATTAATTAATGTGATACTTGATCTTGGAGGATAATTTATCCATTATATATCATCATTTGAAGATAACCATATTAGAGGTGAATACTATATTAAATAATATATTTATAATTTAATATTATATTAATAATTTTTAAAGTTCAGATATTATATTTAATATTTAATATTTCATTATAATTTATAAACCATTCATGATATTAACCCAACAATTTTTATTAAAGTCAATTGGATTTCATAGGCATTCTTTGAGCCATACTCAAATTCTTACACAAAACAACACTCAATCTCTTTGAATATAAATCCTCTTTGTTTCTTACAGACCCTAAACAAAATACCGAATTTATACTAAAACTCTAAATCCATAAAAGAATCACTAATAAAACAACTTTTAATAAAATATTATTATAATAAAAAAATTAAATAATAATCAAAATATAATGTTTGGTTTAATTCCAACGCTTCAGAACCTTTGTATGGCTCCTGTCAGATATTTTGGTGGAGTGCCACATCTAAGCAATATCTGCTCAAAATCTTGTTCGTCACATGGAATTTGTAGTCCCCCTTCATGCTCAAATCCGAATTCATCAGCCACCTTATCCATCAAAACTCTAAATTCCGGCATTGCTAAGTAGCTCGTCGGAATCACAAACTTACGGCGCACTGGCCCTACATAGACCGCTATGGACCCTTTTGGAACATGTATCGAACCCCGGCTACTGCCATCCGATAATTCTCCGGTCAACAATGATTCCTTCGACATTTCCTCATAATTGCTTCCCAAGATTTTATGGCTCTTGCCAGTAATAGCTGGAAGTTTTAGGTGGCGTTGATCAGCCCGCCGTTGCCATAGCCGAAGGAAGTTCTTTGGCCGCCGGGTGATATGAGCAGCTTTTTGCTTCATCATCTTTGTATGATTCGTAGCCAATTAAAGCAGGAAACTTCAGGAGATATGCGAAGCACTAGTTTTCATGGATAGTGCAATATTGTTAAAAAGGAGAGAAGGCAGAAATTAATTCACGTGAATCATGAAATCAAAAGTTCTTCATAAACTTCATGCGACTGAATTTTACAAGAAAGGTTTGTTCACTAATGCATGCCTTTCATGCATATTATGTGCATGGTATGATGCGTTTACAAGAGAAAAAAAAAGGCTCTTTCTTGATTGGAAGAAGCTCATTAGAAATTATAGCAAACAGATTCCCTCTTTTAGGAGATGGTTTAACATACTATAGATGACAAATCAAACAGCTAATTAAGCATAAATAAATATATATATCTATAAATATATATAAGAGGATCTAATGTTACCAATGTCGTTTTGCTCTTGTATTATCACCGATCTTCAAATATTCCTCCCAATAAACCAGCAATGCTAATGATAAATTTTTATAACAGCCATGAATTTTATTACTGGTGTTTTGTTTTCAATGATAAAAAGGTAAAAATAGTTGTTCTTGCTGTTATTAGTCATTCCGTCTTATATTTAGAGTAAAACTACTATTTCTATATATATAAAAAAACTACTATTGTATAAAAATATGAATATATTAATTAATTAATTATATATTCATAACTTTAATTATAAAATCTAAAAATTTCATTGTCAATATATGGGATAATTTATATATAATAGATAATAACATTGAGTTTGAACAATGGTAGGAGTTTTAGATTTGGGATTGAATCCAAAATTTTATATTTTTTTAATATTATATCCTTATTTGACATCTAGCAGAAATTCAATTTCTCATTCTATTCTTCTTCAGCTTTTTCAAAACTAACCATTAAGTGTATCAATTGATTTGTGAACTAAAATGCCATCATCTGATCAACAAATTTGAACCTTCAAATGTTTTTTATTTCATTTACAAGCCTTAGGGATAAACATCTTTTACGCTTCTTTAATCAATCTCATTTCATTTTTGATTTGCCCTCCCTCACTTTTAATTTTTTTTTTTCAAAATAATACAAAGATCTTTCATATTATCGTCAGTGATTTGTTCTTCATCATCATTACAATCCTATGACAAATGTAATCCATTACACTTTCTTAGTTCATTACACAAAAGGAAAAATAAATGGTGAAGACAAGAGAAATTAATAATAATAAAAAAAAAGATATTCATTTTGATAACAAGTCTAGCAAGGAACAAATAGGAAAAGAAATAATTTCAAAGTAAATCATCAAGATAAGTGTTTGAAGAAGTTTACGTCATCCAAGATAATGAATATTTAGATAATTTTGAATAAATTAATTCAAAGTTTTTCTCAAAAACCCATTTCATTAATGTTCTTGGTCTTTTAAGCTTATCAACTTCAAATGGTGCCCCTACTACATGGGATCCTCAAATGATATTAATCTTCATGCATTAAAATTATTTTTCAAGTTTTCAGCTTATATATATATATATATATATTTACTTAAATCACCATTATGGGTTTCCAATTTAAGTCTTACTTTTTCTTTTTTTATTAATTTTTTACAAATCTTTTTCTTATATTTTCCTTCTCTTCATTTATTTTTCACTTCATTTATCATTGATATCTCCATCAAAAGCCCAATCAATCTCATTGTTCTTTGATAGCATCATAATCATGCTTTAAAATAATATATGATTCTCTAATATAAGTATTTACATTTAATCAGAATAGACTTTTAAGGTTCATAATGTAGACTAAAGTGTGAGGTTATGAAAAATGGATAAATAGGCCAAAATTATTATTTGAAAGTTTATAAATTAAATTATCATTTCTTATCATATGAAACACCTTGGCATTTTGCCCTATCATTTATCATTTTTTTCATTTTTTCATTTTTTTTCATATTTTCTCTTTCATTTTTTCATTTTGTATTTTTTCTCATTGTTTAAGAAAGATTCAAATGTTAAAAAGGCTTTCTCTTTTTCCATTTTAGATAATTTGAGACTTTCATTTTTTCTTTTTGTGAAAATGTCTTTTTTTTTTTTTTCTAAAATTTGCCTTTCAATATTAAGGGTGATCTTTAGTGGGGTTTTTTTTTTTTTTTTTTAAAGAAAAATCATAATAGGCTTAAAGTGGTGGTAAATGGATAATTTTATTCTATGTGAAATATATAAAAAAGGGATGACTATTATTTCTCATCTTAAAAGAAAAGACTCTCATAAAAAAACATTTATTAAATAAGGGCAAGCTTTTGAATACCATCATAAAGGACTATATAGTATCTTACATTCATATTTCAATGGGCAAAATTCCTCGCTAGTTTTCATTCATAAACTTGTCATTTTTTTTCTTTAATAATTCAAACAGATTGAGAATCTTGAATAATCAATTTCACCTTATTAAATGATGCTTTCAAAATTGAATCCTACATTATGATCATGATTGTTAGAACATTCATTATTTAAGTATGAGAATGGGTGAAATAAGAAAAGGTATATAAAAGTAGTAGAATGAAAGAGGAAAATGTAATGAAAATGCAATTTTTATTTTATTGAAGGGTACAATTAGGGACGTAATCGAGTCGAGTCAAGTCGAATAGTAAGAAGCTCGAGTTTGAGCTCGACTCACAACTTGGAGTTCGATACTTGGCTCGAGCTCGATATTCGGCTCGAGCTCGATCGAGTTTTATTTTTCAAGCTCGAGCTCGATTTGTGATCGAATTCGAGTTATTCGAGTTTGCTCAATTAAGCTCGATTAATATGTAAAAATAAGCTCGATTCGTATACTCGACAATAGTTCGATTATTCATGCTCGAACTCGAACTCGAAATATTTTATTAATTAAAATAATAAAAATATATTTAAATATAAAAGCTCGATTAAGCTTGTGAGCTATTCGAGTCAGATATAAGAATACTCGAATTCGGCTTGATCGATAAGTCGAGCTACTCGAGCTCGACTCAATAATAATCGAACCGAATTCGAATTTTCTTCGAATCGAACTCAAATGTTTGTGAGTACTAATATATCATTTACACCCCTAGATACAATCAATTATTATTATCAATTATTTAAGATAAAAGTGAGATAAATTTTGTAATTCATAAAAGATTTGAAAAAGCTTCAAAAAGAAGAAACTTTCCGATTCTAAATTATTTTAACGCTCCTAAAAAATTTAAAAAATTTTGCAAAATTACATTTCTTGAACCAAATAAAAGAAATCACTCTATCAAAACATAAATTCTTAAATAAAATTCTAAATTTCGCGAACTAAATTACTCTTAAAAACATCAACCTTTCGGAAGTTTTCTTGCTTCTTGTAAGCTTCTTCACACATGCAATCGATTGAATGCGAAAAGGCATAAATTCCCTTCTTGCATATTTTTTTTTTGGCTTTCAAAGCTTTGTTTCATTTGCGTTCTATTTATCTTCTTTGATAAATCCTTTCAAGTTTAAAAGAATTAATTTGGAAATACTATTTTATTTTATTTTATTTTGGAGGAAGGGAAATTCAAACTTGCTTCAGAAAATATATACATCCACCATTGCATCAAATGCATGCTCAAGTGCTAAAAATTAATAACATTAAAACTAAACCAAAGGTTTACTTCATAATTAAGCTAGGGAGAAAAGGTTTACTTCATGTTAACATAAGAAATTCGGAGTGATTCCTTTGGATCAACGCAACCGAAAAAATATTGAAAGCTCTACAAATTATCATGCAAGAAAAAAATTTTATTAATCACAATCACACAATTTTGTTTTATTTACCTCAACAAGGTTTCAGAAGCATTCTTGAGCCACACTTGAAGCTTTACATAAAGCCACACTGAGTTTTTTTTGAGCTTCCCGGCCTCTTAAACTCTTACAAATTCTAAATAAAATAACTAAATAAGATATTAATGATAGTAAATAAGGTAAATAATAATAGAAAAAAAATATAAAGTTTAGTTTAATTCCAATGCTGCCTCTCTTAAACCAAGCTCTTAAGAAACCACAAACGAATGCCATCAATAGCAAGAATGTTCAAAGCAATTGTTGCTGCAAAGAACTCAAACCCAACAAATTAATCCATCATTATATTTTGACAAGAATTTCTCGAAACCCAAAAAAATCATGAATTTCATATTCCGACTTACCTAAACTTTTGATCTGCAACAGAGAATCACCAATCAAAAATTTTCTAAACCAACTTCCCTAATAACACCACTGTCATGGTGTTCAAAAACAGATTTTGAAACAATAAACCAACGTCAAATTTTGGCAATCCTGATTTTTTTTTTTCACAAAATTCGGCATCCAAATTAAAAGATGCTAAATCCAATTTTTCAACCTTAATTGTAGAAAGAAAAAAATATTCATTAGGAAATATAGATTTCAAACTAAAATTCAGTGAACCCATTTCTTCAATCTTAATTTTTTTAACAAATAACAATTGAGAAACTTCCTCACTAAAAGTAATTTTCTTTCTCATCAACAAATTTTTCATCATGCAATTGATAGTCCTAATATTCAACAGGATGAGGATGCAATTAAAACATAATTTTGGGTATTCTTTTATAATACCCCAACCCAAATGATAATTGGATTTAGAGTATTACCAAAACCCATTAATTTGTTTAAGAGAATACTTATTAAAAGAAAAAGAGGCTGAGCTAATTTGTTAGGAAAATCTAACAGTCTTTGTTTAGAGTGAAAAAAAATAAGAAAACAGGCTGTTTTTCTTTTTGATGAGGGTTATTTTTCTTTCTCTTCTTTCTCAAAGCTTGGGGCTGGAAGATCAAAGTTGATTAAAAATTAAAATCTACCTCCATATTAGTCTTTTAAAGGTGAGTAAAATCCTCTTTAATTTGAAGAAGAAGCTTGTTAACTGTTGAAATTTTGGGGTTAAAGTTCATTAGAGAAATTTAGAAATTTCTTATAATCGTATATGATAGGATTAAGATTATTAGATCTTGTTTTATTCATTTAATTATGAGTTAAGATTGATTATTGGATTAAC